AAGTGGGAGAACTTGCACAATTGGTGGCTGACTAAATACTTTTTTGCTCCACTGTATGTTACTAAAGCAAGATGTATCCATTATTGTGTCTGTTGTAGTAATATAAGGACATACTCCCATGTGTTCCTAAAACATCAGATTAACAAAATGAAGGTGCTATAGATTGTTCTGAAACACATTAAATTCAATATAAAACTTATTTGGGAGGAAGGAATGATTGAATAGTCATACAAATACTGTATTTGAATCTTTTAGCATCCTTTGTGCAACCCCTTTCAGCATCCTTTCTGAACCCTTTTGTGCATTGATGTGCTGTAGTAAGCTACTCCTGAACTGATCTTCACTTAGAAACTGTTGTGTATTATTTTTCCCAAGCGTTTATCTTCAGTGGGACTGGATGCCAAAAACACAGTCTGCATTTGGGACTGGAAGAAAGGAAAACTACTGGCATCAGCTACTGGCCACTCAGATAGGGTAATCAGCTAATGAATTTGCAATACATTTCTCTTGTAATGTTCTTGTGTGTATTTTGTTTGTATTAAGAATACTAATTAGCTTGTAAAATTCATTATGGAGATGGCATTATTTGATATAATGGAGGGGTAATTTAACAACTGGGATTTTTTCCTGGAGTTATATCACTAAAAAAACAAACGTAATTTGGGATGATTGGTTGTTGTTGTTACTTTACTGAAAACAGTTGACTAGGCTACTATTTTGATTGTAGAAGGTAAACCTCCCATCCTACCTTAGTTTGAATCATTTTTGGTATCACATGTTTTACTTCCAAGTTGTTACCAGCCTGGTGAGGAAAAAAGACAGATGTATATGGATTCTACCTTCTCTTTTTTCCTCCATGGACTTAAAAGAACTTTGTATGATGTTGTGGTCAAGTGAATAGAACAGGGAAAGTCAAACTTCCCCCTCTGAATACCTCTTCTTTGACCTTGTAGCTGTTTGAACCAAGGATAGTGACCACAACAATAATGAAATAGCTGTGAAAAATGTTATTGATGAGGTATATCTGTTCCATAAATGATGATAAAAAAATGTGTATCTTCATGCATGTTTATTTGTTGTCATATCCAGTTACCAGGCTTCCTTCACATAAAGTATCACTTAATATTCACTAAAATTCTGAGAGTTTAGTATTTAATATCTCACATGATTTCAGGCACTAGTTGTGTGAGGTTTTAGAGGGTGAGATTGCAAAAATCTCATCAGATTTGGAACTCTTGAGAGAGTTAATCTGTTTTATTTTATGGCAACTGTGCTATTGCAAAAAGGGCATAGTATTGTCTCTGCCTGAAAAGATTTGCTAACTGAAAGCTTCCCTGAGAGTAGGTTTGTCCATCACAGTTGGTTTCTTCCTGTGTGTAGAGCTGCAGGGAGCTCTTGGCAAAGGTTCCTTTCATGAGACTCCCATTATATCAGTGGCCCTTTGGTTTTATGTGGTGATTATTTTAGGGAATTAAAACGGTATTTTGAAGCAGTCCCCAACAAAAGAATGTTACAGGCTAAAGTTGTGCCCAGTTTTGAACGATTCTGCTATCAATTTAAACTATGCAGAGCACACATTTGTACAATTTACTAGATGGAGCAATTAAATAGTGATAGGCAGGTAAGCACAATATTGTAGGATCAGTTGTTTTAGGAGTGATATCTGTATAGGTAGGATGTGCTTTACCTAATAAATACAGAATAGCTTTTATAACAATACTGTTTATTTAAAATCTCATCTTTTTCCTTTAGCTCTGTGCAATTTGGTATTTATTGACGTTTTCCATTTTTTCCCTATAATTGTTAATATTCCTGTTACATACACAAATACTATTTGGAACTGAGACTTTATTGAAATAAATGAACCACAAGATGTTTGTTTTGCCAGCTACTTTCCAAATGCATTAGTCTTTCATAAGAAAAGTTATCAACTTTGATATACCTATTAACAATCTTGATAATAGAACCATAGAACTTTGTTAAACTTGTGAAAGAGAAATAGACACTTATAGGATTTAATGCATGTGGTTTTTAATTTAGTGTAGCAGTTTTGAATGTGTTTTGACAGATTTTTGATATTTCCTGGGATCCATATCAACCTAACCGAGTGGCTAGCTGTGGAGTGAAACATATCAAGGTAAACTGGTTTTGATGCTTTGCATTATCGATGGAGAAAAATGTTATATTTACCTGACACATTTTCTTTTACTAACTTCTTTTAAGATTTAAATGTTGCATAGCCAATGCAAGGTAGTAGGCAAATTCCTAATGCTATAGAGTAGTTGCAGAGAGGAATTTTAATCAAAATAGATTGATTTAGAACAGGGGAAGACAACTAAAAGTTGCTAAAGTATATGCTAACTATGCTGT